TTTGTTGTTTGAATCTTATAAGACTATTTTTTGATAAAAACTCAGACTGTTCTCATCTCTCACATTAAATAATCACAAGTTTTAAGCTTAATTCGTTTGTTTATTCTTGTATCGTTGATAACGATTATAAAAAAAGCCACTTAAATGCCACTTTATAGTGGTTAATACATTTGATGTGCTGTCTGTCACACACATAATAACATTTTACCGTGTTTTACCGATTTTTTTTATGAAAAAGCTCTGATTTATTGTTGTTCATTTATCAAAATTGTTTTCTTAGTACAATTGGTTGAAAATAATTTTTCTTGGGGAAAAAGCTGTTATTTTATAATTGTTTATCATTTATGGGCTACCTGTCTTAGTAAGAAAAACAATCATTTTGGTTAAATTGGGATGGAATAGCGCCCAAATTCGGCATTGTTACCATGTTTTGGATGTATTACTTGGTGCACACTCAATATAAGCAAGGTATATAAACAGCTCCAGGATGTTGCATGTGGTGGTGGTGTTTATTATAATCTTTTATAGTCATTAAATAATTTGAAAAATATTAGGTAACTCTGTTGTTTGTATCGTATAGATGATGAGCCAGTGGAAAGTGTCTTTAAGGACTATGACAGTGATGGTAAAGAGGCTAGCTGTAAATCTCTAGTAGCTGTGGAAGGTACGTGATGATCGAAAGTTAAACTGTAGATTTCATAATTACAATGCGTTTTATTTAAAATACAAATGTAATGATACAGTATTTTTATAATTTACGTGATATTTGGTGTATTGGTATACTCTTGAATTGGATCTTGATAACTAGTTTCGAGATATTTAAAAGTACACAAATATTTCATTTAATTATGCAACTGATTGACATTCATGGTTGCTCTGAAYTATTGCTATAATCATGTGCTTTCGACAACCTTTCAACTGTTTCAATGACATTATATTACTTCGGGAAAATTTAGAGGAAAATTAATACTATCAAACAAGAATACATCTCTATTCTGCCAAACAAACTAGTGTGTGTTTCATTTCAAGATTCTTGTTTCATTAGTTTTATTACCCCRGGGGGGCGGGGGTCCTCGGCGTCCCTTTATAGGGTTTGAAATCGGTATTTTGGTCCCACTTAGGGTGATACTGACGAGAATTCCCATCAACTGAGTTTTGTGGTCCCTTTTAAGGTATATGATGTCTCTAAGCTCTCATTATGAGATCAAAAACCAGAGCTGCTAATTAGATGATTGATTTTATTTTAATCAATTTCATGTCTTGTCACTCCTTAATAGACGAGATTATTGGTCCCTTTTAGGGATGAAATTTCAGCACTGCCACGCCCATCATCTCTCCAAATACAGGTCCCTCTTAAGCGTGGATTTCACTAGCGCATAAGCATAGGCATGGCACGAAGCACGAGAGTCATATGTGCCAGTGAGAATGGGCTCAAAATATTAGCATAAGCACGAGCACAAGAAAAACAAGCAAGTCTTGACCTTCTTGTGCTTATCTCATGTTTATGCTCTGTGAGAATGCTCAATGTCGTATGCTTATGTCGAGCCCGTTCTCACTGCCGCATATGATTCTCATGCTTGTGCTTATGCTATGCTTATAATTTACGCCGAGGACCCCTGCCCTTTGATTGGGAAGGGGGGGGAATTACGTCAAAATGTCAACTTTGTCTCATGTTTTTACCTTTTTTGTTCACATTTTGACATCATGTGACTGCATAGAGCACAGAAGAAAATGTACTATATACTATATATTCAGCAATATGCAGAAATTCTGACCACTCTGACTAATATTTCAACTATATATAAAATATATCAGAAATTATGGGATATGGTCACTGATATTTTTTTGAAGTTGCCTAGGATCAGTAGTATCTGAAAAAAATATCAGCGATGATATCCCATAATATATAGTTGAAATATGAGTCAGAGTGGTCAGAATTTCTGCATATTGCTGTATACTATATATATACTATATAAATTATATTGTGCTATAATTTCAAATTTTAGAAGTATATAACATTCTCTCATTATTAATTCTAGCTGATGATATAGAGTCAAGTGATAATGAAGACTTTTATCAGGAATGCTCTAGCAATGAAGGGTGCTCTGCAGCAGGTACGTGCTTCAGTCAGATATCAAATTGAGCCTTCTAATAATTGTAGTATTGGAATATATGAYTATAACTATTAAAAGATAGTTCTTTAAGACAKCAGTATTACAAAGAAATTGTGTTTTGAATAAAAAGGATGTCTGTATGATATTGAAAGTTTTACAATGTTTGCAAAGCCAGTGTTTCCTCTTGTGGTGTGTGTACTCTAATAGATATACAGATGATGTCTAAATGTAGTGAGAACAAAATAGACTGTTGTTCTCACTACATTTTGATGTCATCWRTCTGTGTATTAGTGAGTATACACACAGAAAAATGAGTCAGATCTATCTGTTATATACAACTTAAACAATTAGTTTGACGTAATCCGTGTATCTATACTTTGATAACACACGAAAGCCAACCAATCAAAACGTCTGATTTTACTGAAAAGTTGTATAAAGCTGGTAAATAGTACTGTTTCACTGTCCAAGGATTAACTCGTTATCAAAAACGTCTTATTGTCTTTGATGGATGTCAGTATAGGTTACTTCATTAATTCCGATTTGCTTATTAATGAAACTTGAGATTAAAAGTTCACATCATCTGTGTATAATTATTCAATAATGCTTAAAGAAAAGATGGTGCATGTAAT